TTCCTCTGGGCAATTTTTATTTTATTTTTTTTTAATTAAAAATATTTTATTTTATTGAAACCCATAAACGAGGGGAAATTGACCCCCAATAAAAACATTTCACTACCCCGGGCCCCAAACCCCATGCTGTTTTGGGGCCTCCTCAGGGTTTGGGCAAAAAAAACATGCCCGGCCCTTTTATCCACTGAACCCCGACCCTTTAAACAAAAAAAAAAAAATACTGAAAGTTGAACTAGAAAAACCAAACAGGGACTAGAATGAAAATTTGGGCCCTAGAGTCATCCACACCATCGGGTTCCTTGGGTGGGGATTTCCCACACCCAGTTCCGCGGGGGATGCCCTATTTTTTAAAGGATCGTTTTGGTAAAGGGGGATTAGGGGTTTAAAGCTTTTTCCCCAACCTTTGAGGGCCAAAGAAAGCAGGGTTCGAGCCCCTTGCCTAGTGCAGGGGTTGTTATATTGACCTGTAGGAAAATTTACCCCCCAGTTTTCCATAGCACCAGCCGAGAAGGGCAGGAAAAAGCGAACATATCCAGCTTGGGTTTGAGGGAACGAGACGTTGAAGTAATCCTCTATAAGAAAGAATTTTAGAACCCGTCAGTAATGGGGGTAGCGCCCGGGCAATGGCAGATTTTCGAGTCGTCCCCTGCAAGGAAAAAAAAAATAAAATTTTTTAAAAAAAATTCCCCATTGTAATTTTTACTGTACATTTCAGTCTGTATAGACCAAAACGGGTTCCAAAAAAATTCTTAAAACTTTTTTTACTTTCGCTCCGCCAGATATCCAAGTCGGATCACAGGGTAATTTTACAAAAAAAGCCCCTTTTTTCTCTAACTTTTTTTTATGCTGACAGTTTACCCTTTTAAACCCTAATTTTTGGAATTAAATAATTTTTCTTTTAAAAAATTTTCGTGAAGCTTTTAAAAAAAAATCGACAGGGTTTTTTTTCCAAGGGTATTTGTTTCTGTAAGATTTCATTCATCCTGAAAGCATTTCAAGTTCCCTTTTTTACCCCAGTTTAAAAATTAAAATTCTTAATTCTACAAAGTTCTTATAAACTGTCAGGGCTTTCCACAAAACGCACAAAGACATTTTTACGAACTTTGAGTTCAACTCTTTTTATGGATCTTGACTAAATAGCATTAGCTACACACTGGGTCACCCATTTTCATAAAATCATGTTGCAATTCACTTGTTCAGAATTCTTTTACATCAAAAGTTTCGGTTAAAGTTGGATATGAAATAATTAATAAAACTAGATTTCAAATTTAGACTCGTGTACTTATATACACAAGATAATAACAATGAAGGAAAAATTTTTAAAGACGTTAAAATATTCTTAAGAGCATTGACATATATGTGCAAAAATAACAGTAATGTTCTCTAATTTTTATTTTGACCATAACTTTCATCTTCTGGTAGTAAAAATTAATCACGCATTGAATCCAGGAAAGGTTTATTGCGCCACTATGACCCGCCTCAGGAAACACTTGTCCTGTTTCCTGACGAACCTTACCTAACCTAACCTAACATTACGTAACCTAACCTAACCTAACCTTACTTAACCTAACCTAACCTTACCTAGCCTAACCTTACCTAACCTAACCTAACCTTACCTAACCAAACCTAACCTTACCTAACCAATGCTAACCTTACCTAACCTACCTAACCTAACCTAACCTTACCTAACCTAACCTTACCTAACCTAACCTTACCTAACCAAACCTAACCTTACCTAACCTAACCTAACCAAACCTAACCTTACCTAACCTAACCTAACCTAACCTTACAACCTAACCTAACCTAACCTAACCTAACCTTACCTAACCAACCTAACCTACCTAACCTAACCTAACCTAACCTAAACCTAACCTACCTAACCTAACCTAACCTAACCTAACCTAACCTAACCTAACTAACCTAACCTTACCTAACCATAACCTAACCTACCTAACCTAACACCTAAACCTAACCTAACCTAACCTAACCTAACCTAACCTAACCTAAACCTAACCTACCTAACCTAACCTAACCTTACTAACCTAACCTAACCTAACCTAACCTAACCTAACCTAACCTAACCTAAACCTAACCTAACCTAACCTAACCAACCTAACCTTACCTAACCAACCTAACCTTACCTAACCTAACCTAACCTCCTAAATAGTAACCTAATAACAACCTAACCTTAACCTTACCTAACCTAACGTACCTAAACCTTACCTAACCAACTCTACTTTTACTAATATCAGATAGCACTGTCTGCATGTAAAGTGACCTAACCTAAACTACTTACTCTATTCGCATAACGCTAGTGAAGGCTCAACATACTACACCTGCTACACATCACACATCCTCATAACATGTATATGTGTGAAATATCAACCTATTATCTGGAGAAGTGAGAAAGACAAGTTGAAAATTTGTGTATTCTCGAGGATCTATATATTTGTTTCCTGTCTTCTAGGCACAAAAGGAATAAATGTTCATGTGGGTTAAT